TCCATCGTACAGACGAAGAAACAGGCTCAGGAAAGAAGGGGCCTTACCGGAGGCCACAAGGCAAGACAAGTGGCTGAACGGGGACCCGAGGCCGGTCCTTCTCCAGCCCGCTCCTCCCCGACCCAAATGACTGCCTGCCTGATCAAGGCACTCTCCCAGCCATGGACCGTCAGGCACACGGGCAGGAGCTGAGGGAAGCCTCCATCATCTCATTGGACTGATCGGCAGAAATCTGCGGGGAATGCTGCCATTTGAGGTGTGGTGACCCCCAAACACCCACGTGGTGGCTGCTGTAGGCACCCACCCTCCCCCGCCCCCCTTAATCAAAGCCGGTCCTGTGAAGACCTGCTTGCTTGCCCTGACTAGGAGATAGCTTCGATTTATTGCCACAAGGCCGAGGCCATGGACTGGGGTCCCTGGCGTCCCCTCCCCGAGAGAATCTGCAGGAAAATGTGTTTATGCAGAAGCTGGAGCAGCGTCCAGAGGGAGCCCGGCAGGCGGGGCCCTGGAGACCTACCCAGTTGAGTTGCCCTGGAGATTCTAGGAGCCTGGAGTCTCGTCAGTATGCTGCATGGAGGGGGCCGGGCGCTGCATGGGAGCCCCAAACCCAGGCCACGGAGAGGGAGGGGCGCCAGGAGCCCCAGGAAGAGTGGTGCTGCTTTTTTTGTATTATCTTTTTTCTTTAATTTTTCTTGAAATATAGTTGATTCACAGTGTTTCAGGGGTACAGCAAAGTGATTCAGTTATACATATATACATTCTTTTTCAGATTCTTTTCCATTATTACAAGCTACTGAATATAGTTCCCTGCGCTCTGCAGCAGGTCCTTGTGGTTTGTCTAGGGTGGTGCTTCTTATCGGAAGATCCCCCAGGAGGCCTGCAGCCTGGGTCTGCAGGCAGTGGAGTCTTGGGGGAGGGCCACGCCCTCACTGAATGTCATCCAGGGAGGAACCAGGTGAAGATCTAGTCCCCGGGGCTAAGAGTCGCTATACTCTCTTTGTTTTCTTATTCTAGAAGAAGCAGCACCACCACCACCCTGCCTCCCGTCCCTTTTCATTTACCCCCCCCCATCCTTTATGACGTCCTTACAGGGTGCCCGGAGCTCAGGGTCCGACCCCATCGAGACACTCGGCAAAGGAGGCAGCAGGGAGAGGCAGAGCAGCACACCTAGCACCTCAGCGTGGACACGGAGCGCCTGGCCTAGGTGTGCTGGCCAAGTGGGCTTCCTAATGCTGAGCCCCAGAATTTGTCTAGCATGCCCACCCATCTCTGGACTCTGGCAGGCAGGCAGGCGCAGAGCAGAGCAGGCCCTGGTGGGCACTGGGCTCCCAGGAGGAAGGGGGGAGGAGGGGCGGGGCTCCTTACGCCCAGTCCTCCTTCCATATGTACAGATCAGAGTGGGTCACCCTCCCTTCCAAGGAGGGGGAGGCCAGGAGCGTACAGTGGAGGACACAGCAGGAGTCTGGAAGAAGCGTCTCCCCTGCTCGCCTAACCCTGTCAAATGGCCCCCACCATCCTGCAGGGTGGTACCAGTGTGGCTCTGTGTTCAGAGCCAAAAGCTTGAGAAACAGAAATATCTGGATGCAGAGTGGCATCTGTGCAGCCAGAGGGCATGTGGGCAGCCTAGGCCTGGCCAGTAGGTCAGTGTGACTGGAGCAGAGGTGAGGGAGGGGGAGCAGAGATGGCAAAAGAGAAGCTGGACTGGTGCAGGGCTCCCACGTCATCGAGGAGGTGGCAGCTGGTCGGCTGTTTGGGAAAGCTCAGGCTGGATGGGGGAGGGGCGGGTGAGACCAGAGGCAGTGGGGGGCTTGCTAAGCTGGCAGAGGCTGGGGGTCCCAGAGGAGCCTGACGGGACATCGAGATGACAGAAAGGACAGGCGGCTGCTGGATCAGCTGTGGCATTTTCATTGGGTAGTGGAGTCAGACCTGGATTTGAATCCTGGCTCCCATTCTTGGGAGCTGGGTGACTTTGTCAAGTTGTATGACCTCTCTGAACCTCAGTTTTCTCATCTGTAGAGTGGGGGAGTCCACAAGGGGTTGAGGGAGGAGAGTCAAGTCTTGCTTTTGGGAACTTTCTGGAATTTTTTTTTCAAATATATATTTTTGATCTGAGGATGCTCAACCCACAGGGCCAGCTGTGTTTGTGGCTTCTGTGGCCTCGGCTGCCAGTCCTGCAGCCCCCGGGGAGCCTTATGCTTTCTGAGCTCATCGCTCACTGCTGCTTAGTGTCCCTTTGGGAGAGAAACGTGATGGGCTAAGCTCTCTGGGCAGCCTGATGATTGGCTGCCTCTAACAGGGGGGTGTCCACCTCTTGATCCGATCAGTTGAGGGCAGCATAGGGCTGTGGTCACATGGTGGTGCTGCTGGAGCCAGCTGGGGGACAGGGGTTGGGGGCAATGAAAGGTCACCGCTGCTGTTAGTTGATCAACATTTGACTTTTTTTGGATCCTTTGCCTTTTCTGCCATTTTTTTTTAAATCAACTTAATGGCACACACAATTTTTAAATTCCCCAAATTACTAAATTTTCAATATAGTCTAACATGGAACAACTGAAATGTAACAGGAGCCACACATGTAATTTTTTATTTTCTAGTAGCCACATTACATAGTGAAAACATACAGGTGCAATTCATTTTAATAATTTACTCTCATATCCAAAATACGACACATATGTAATCAATAAAGACATTATTAATAAGCCATCCCATGTTCTGCTTCCACATCTCTGTCTGAATCTGGTGTGCAGTTACATTTACACCACATCTCAGTCCAGACTGGCCACATTTCAGTGACTCAGTGGCCATGTGTGGCTGGCGGCCATGGACAGGGCAGTGCAGCTCTGAATGAGGACCTTGCTTTACATCCTTTTAAATGTACTTTTACCCACTTTCGAATAGTTTAGGGACTTTACAGCCCATTGTTTAGGAGTATTAGACTTTAAAATGTCGGGTCTCTGGCAATAAGTGTTCATAAAATCTGCTGGCGTTTTGGAGGGTTCGGTCCATGCATCCTGACCGCCTGTGTCCTGTTTCTGCTGGGTCCTTGCTGCAGGCCGGGTGGCAGCCCATCGTTAATGTTCACTTCTGATTAGTGAGTGTGTTTATTTTCTGGGGCTGCCATAGCATACTACCACAAACTCAGGGGCTCGCAACGCAGAATGCATTTCTCACAGTTCTGCAGGCCAGAGGTCTGAGGTCACGGTGACCAGAGGGCTGTGCTCCAGCTGAGCCTCCAGGGAAGACACGTCCTTGCTTGTCCCGGCTTCTGGAGGCTGCCTGCATTTCTTGGCTTGTGGCCACATGGCTCCAATCTCTGCCTCCCTTGTCACACAGCCCCCTCCTCTTCTCGCTGTGCCTCTCATCTGTGTGTCTCTTGTAAGGATGCCTGTCACTGGACTTAGGGTCCACTCGGGTGATCCTGGATGATCTCATTTCAAATCCTTGACTTCATTACGTCTGCAAAGACCTTTACAAATAGGGTCACATGTACAGGTTCTGGAGATTAGAATGTGGACACACCTTTTGTGGGGCCACCTTTCAACCCCCACAGTGAAACACTGAGGTGTGACAGTGACAATGAAAAAGCAAGGTGAGACAGCGTTTTATTTTTCTAAGCTATGAAATGCACACAGTAATAGTGGCTTATGAAAGGCCAGCTGTACTCTGCATCATTTCCCTGTAACAGGAAGTGCTGGTCCAGAGCCTCTGGCCAGGGTTGGGCAGGGGTTAATTTGATGAACAAGTATGTCAGATGCACTCAGGAAGGCAAATTGAAAGACAGCAGAAGGGCAAGAATGTCTTAAATTGTTCAAAAGCAGATTTGGTGATGCTTGTAACAGGCTCTGAACAGGGCCAGGTGCAGCACCAGCCCTTAATAAGTGCTAAATTCACCATCTTGAGTGTAATGATCACTGTTATATATTTATGTCCGTACCATATAGCTCTGTATTATTAATGAAGCTGGTCGTAGATACATGAAGGGGTAAAGAGCCCCCCCGCCCCCACCCCAGGATATAAGACAAAGAATTGAGCTGAATCCCTAAGTCACCAGATGTGTTCTGACAGCAGAAACCTTTTTTTATGAGCTCTCGCGGCTCCTCACTGCTGCCGTCACCCCTGGTCAGGCTTGTTCATGGCTCACTTTACATGCCCATTCTTCTTTTATATGATCATCAGGACGGCACTAATCTGGGTTTGCAAATGAGGTTCTCTTGATGGTGTTGTGTCAGCATCTGGACTCAAGACAGCTGCTTCCCAGAACCAGGCCCTCCGGTGCTGCCCGCGAGCAAGCCCAGCCCCTCCCCGTTTCTAATCAGCCCCAGGAGCCTGGGGGATTTGCTTATGGGCCCAGGAAGCCATAAACAGTAATGGAAGTGTTTGTATTACTGCTGGCATGGGGTTGCCCTGGGGGTCCCTTCCCCACCATTAAACTGGGGATCCTCTTTCCATCTTTGAGCTCACTCATCCCTTCATCCCTCCACCCATTCATTTGTTGGTTCATGTATTCATCCATTCATTTGTTCAGAGAACCACTGTTGAGTGCCTGCTTAGAGCCACTTTGGAGTGCTGTGCGTCCCATTCCCCACAGCAGGGCGAGAGGGGACGGCGCTGCAGTGGGAGGAGACAGGAAGGGGTGTGTGTGGGGGTGCCCTGACCAGGAGCCCTGTGACCATGGTAAATTCCTCTAACTCTTCTCTTGGCTTCCTCGTCTGTAAGAGAGACAGGCTAGTATAACAGCAGCTGCCTTACGGAGTGGCTGCGAGAATTAGAGGACGTAACGGATGTAAATTCACACGCTGCCTAGTGACACGGCAGTGACGGCCACGAGAACCCCTAACACTTACCTGGGGCCACTCTTCTGAGCACTTTTCACCTGTTAGTGCATCTCATTCTCCCAGTAGCACTGCTCTGCTACTGGTCCCCACTTGTCTCGGCTGCTCCCCCTAACCTTATAGGTTTCAGCTCTGGTGCCTCCTCCTCCAGGAAGCCATCCCTGATCCCCTGGCAGGGCCCTCACAGTCCCCATTGTCTCCATCCATGGAAGCACTGGCCACACCGTGTGGTGCTTCTTATATCTCTGACTCCCCCTCGAGACTGGGAGCTCCTAAGTTTAGGGGCATCCGTGTCTGATTCACCCTTGGCCTGGTGTGGTGGCCCAGCACAATCTGCTGAAATGGAAGGAAGGAAGAAGGAGACAAGGAAAAGGAGAGGAGAGAGAGCAGGATGGGAGGGAGGGCAGAAGCGCTGTGCCCATTCTGCAGAGGAGAAGACTGAGGAATGCAACCAAGAAGTGGCCGAGCCAAGCACCCTTCTACTAGCTCATCATGCTTTCCATCTTGAGTCTAAAGTAGCAAAGAGGAGCTTCTTTTTGATTTTGAGAAACAGGAATGGCTTTGATGAGGAGCCACGGGTAGAGCGGCACGTGCAGAGGGCTTGAAGTGAGGCGGGTGTGGGCGCAAAGCCCCGCTGCACCTGCCGCAGGACCTCGGGCGGGCATTGCAGCCTTCCAGCGTGGTCTCCTCATCCGTAACGTGGAGGCCGGAAGCCTCACCTCCCTGGTTGCGGAGTGGACCAGACAAGATGGTAACAGCAGTGGAATCGACTTCCCTTGTGTCACCATTTACCCTCCAGCAGCCTGGTGAGCCACTTGACGCCCTCCATATCATTAATCCCAATGTGTAGAGGTGGCCACCAAGGCACAGGGAGATTAAGTAACTAGCCCAAAGTCACACAGCTAGTGAGTGTCAGGACCAGGACTGGAATGCGATCTAGGCATGTGGGAGGTACTTAAGTGGCAGCCACTATTGCCGCCATCCCCGGCACCTTCTTCAGCATCGTCACCCCCCACCCCCGGGACGCCCCCTTGTAGATTCTGCCGTTTGAGCTTGTGACTTTCCTCTGTGAGCCTACCACATGGGCACTTGGAGCTGATCTCTGGCCACCATCCCGTGGTGTGGCCCCTGGAGCACCTGGCTGAAGTCATGCTGTTGGAGGGCTGTCGGGCTCACCATCCTGCAGAGGGAAGTGGGGGCCTCAAGGTCAGCTCCAAGGGGATCTCAGGCCAGGATGTGCCAGAGCTTCGGGCTTGGCGTGTGCTGGGCCCAAACTGCTGTTCATGCTTTGGCCTTGCCCTTGGTCTCTGGGAGGCCGGATAGCTGCATCTTTCCATCCATAAGGGGTCTGGGACCAGAGGTCCGAGGTTTATGAAGATCACCATCCTAGCCACTGCATGAAAAAATTTATGGGATAAGCACCTGTAAAAATATTTGCAACAAACACAGAGGTGAGGGAGACCGTCTGAGACGGCTCCTGGGAGAACTCAGAGACAGCATTCACGAAGCATGTCAAGAGTCTGAGAGATGGAGAGAAAAGCCTTCGCCCTGATCAGGTTTTTCTAGAGGGCAGGTGAGCTGACTAATTTCTAACATGGTTAATAAATCAGTTGTTGAATACAATTTTGGACAAATTTTCATGGTGCAGGAGTTGTCTCTGTGATGGTGATATTTGCCTTTGGCCAGATACTGATTTTCATAGTCTGTGAGCCATTTGGCCAAAATGTGCGTTGGACACACCTCTACTTTTGACAGAGTGTCTATGTGAGTTGAGACCCTTTCTCCCCTTGTGACGTTCTCTGGGCCCCTCCCTGCTCAGCCTCCCTCCCACACGACTTGACCTCTTAAAAACGATTTTGGATCCCAAAGAGCTTCTATGTATGCGGGCTGTATCCATTGATATTTACTATGTTAGAAATGAAAACTGAAACACTGAGAAAGATTCATACATGAATTCATTTAACAATAGAAATAACAATCCAATTACATCTTAACATAAATAACATTTTTTTTCTGAAAAACAACTATGTTTTCCAAAACAAAAATATAGTGAGAGGAGTCGCACTTTTGTAACTCTCTTTAATGTCTGGCTTCAGAGATGACAGCTGGATTCTCACGTCACCTTTTGCATTCAGTGTGTTGTGATATTTTGTTTGGCTGAAATGAGGTCCAACATCCAGCCTCACGCAGATACGTAGCTGGAAAAGGAAGAACCCACTGAATGCCCAGGGGTCCTTGGACCACATCTAAGAACTGCTGGTTTAGGTGGTCAGTGAACTCAAGATGATGGCAGAGAGAAAGCATGTGACCCACAGGTCACTTCCTGCCTTGACAAGGAAACTCAGGATCTTAGAGCCCTGATGGTGTCCAGCCTGGAGACAGACCAAGAGAGAAGTGCCAGCAGTGACTGACCTGAATTCAGGCCCCCAACCAAGACCCTTTGGCTCAACTGTCCCCAGTGGCTTTATCCAGCTACAGACTTCTATCCAGCTGGACTGGACGTTTCTGGGAAGAGCCTGCATTTGGCCCCAGGTCAGCTGCCCACTGGCTTTCAAGCTGCACTGCTCTGTTGCCCACCCCATCCCCTAATGCCAACTCAAGCATGGTCCTCGCTGCCTTTTCCCGCTGTTCCAAGCCTCAGCATCTGAGTGTCCTGGAAAGGGCTTTGTCCGTGGAGGAGGGAGGGCCGACCTGGGCTTCTCCCAGGGTCAGCTCAGGCTGCCCACACTGGCTTCCGGCTTCCCATCCGCCACTGACGACCTTCCCAGGAAGGCAGGGCAATTATTCATTCATTCAACATACGATTAATGAGATCCTGCCACGTACCCGGCACAGCACATTCCTCATGCCCGGGCCAGGGTGGCTTGGACCTCCTGGGACAGATCCAGATGAATTAGCAGCTTGATTAATACCAATGATCTCAGTTGATGAAAAATGCACCAAATGATTGTTCCCCTTCATTTTTACTCGGGTGGTCGGCTGGCCCAGGGCGCCTTTAGGGGATTAAATCAGCAGTTTGCTGGAGGCTTCAGAAGCGGGTGGGAGGCTGCCTCTGCTCTTTTCCCCTTTCCCCCTTCACTGCAAAGACTTTTAAAAAGATGGTATTCTGTATAATAAACGGCATCTCCTTAAAGCGTGCAATCCAATAGTTCTGACAGCTGTGGATGCTCATGAGACCACTCAGAATTAAGATTCAGAACATTTCCATCACCCAAGCCCAGATTTCTTTGCTCCATTGTGTGTCTGCCCCCTACTCCGTTCCTCGTCCCAGTGACCACCAGTTCGCCTCCTGACATATGTATTGGTTTGCACTTCCCAGAATTTCATGTAAGTGGAGTAATAATAAACGCCTTGCTTCTTTCACTCGGCATATTCATTGTGACAATTCATCCTGTTGCTGTATGCATCGGTAGTCTGCCCTTGTTCGTTATTCCTGAGTAGCGTTCCATTGTATGGGTCGGTCACAGCTGGTCCCTTCACCTGTTGATGAACAGGTGATAACGGATGGTTTCCAGTTTTGAGCTACTGTGGGCGAAGCTGCTGTGAGCACGTGTGTACACGTCTGTGTGAGTTCCTGGGCTTCCACTGCTCTGTGTAAGGACAATGACTGCAGCATGGGATAGGCGTATGCTTACCTCGTAAGACGCTGCCAAGCTGCTTCCCAAAGGGAGGATGTGGCTGTGCGTTCCCACTGGCAGTGAAGGAGATTTCTGGTTGCACCACATCTTCACCAACTTGACTATTACCAGTTTTAAATTTGACCTGTTCTGAGGGGTGCATCCTGGGGTCTCACTCTGATTTTAACTTGCATTTCCCCGGTGGCCAATGATGTTGAGCATCTTTCCATGTGTTTATTGGTCATTCATATATTTTCCTTTGAGAAGTGTCTGTTCAATCTTTTGCCTTTTTTTTTTGGTGGGGGGAGGTAATTAGGTTTATGTATTTATTTTAATGGAGGTACTGGGAATTGAAATCATGACCTCATGCATGCCCATGCTAGGTGTGCACTCTACCTCTGAGCTATATCCTCCCCACCTTTTTACCTGTTTTTAAGTAGGTGGTTTGTGTTTTTATTATTGAGTTACATGAGGACCATATACATTCTGGATACGAGCGATTTGTCAGATATGCAGACTGCGAATATTTCCTGTCATTCTGAGCCTTGCCTTTTTGTTTTTATAATGGTTTCTTTCAATGAGCAAAAGTTTTAAATTTTGATATAGGCCAATTTATCCATTTTTTCCTTTTGTTGTCCATGTGTTTTATGTCTTGTCTAGGAAATCAAAGTTGCAAAGGTTCTCTTCAGTATTTTCTTCTGGAAGCTTTTTTTAGTTTTAGCTTTTATATTTAGGTCTCATTTCAACATTTATATTTTGATGCATTTCAACATAATTTTATACATAGTATAAGGTCAGGGT